AACTGGCAGGCAGACAGTATAAACAGAAGGAGAAATCTGGAAGAGAGGGGAGAGCAAGACAGATCAAGAAGTGAGAAAAGAAGGGCCAGCCACCCAGCCAGACGTGGAATAAGAAGGAAAGAAAAGAAATACAGAAATAAAGAAAGGCAAAATCCCAGAGGCGAAAGGTAGACGGGACAATTTAAGAAAAGCTGGCAAGAAACCCGCCAAGCTAAGGCTGGGCATTTATAACTAAGAATAAGTCTCTGTGAGTGATTTGTTTGGGAGCTGGGTGGTGGGCCCCCCAAAAGAGCCAAGATAAAAAGAGTAAAGAGTATAAAACAGGGACAACAGGATGACCCTGGAGGAATAACACCCAAGGTGGTTTGTTCTCTGGCTTCTATGTGCAAACAGATGCACCCCACCCCCACACACATACAACATGCTGACTCCCAAAGCTAGAGGGGTGTGCTTTTAGTTAGGGGTGTCTTCTGGTCTAGAAAATTTAATTTCAAATCATTGGAGAAACAAAGTATGTTCAACACAACATACTCCTTAATGCAGCCACTGGCCAGCCTCCTGCTATGTGTGTAGTCAGTTTTTAATTTTATGCCCCGTGAAATGCTGAGGATGCAGGCATACTGGCATGGGGCAAACTACACCCTTCGTTGGACTGTGGGAATCTAGCAACAGAAACTTATTTTCAACAGAAGAAACAAAGGAGCTTTTCAGGTGTTCCTCAACCCAGGTATTCTGGATGGTTTAAAGATAAAGAAGCAGGCTATTCAGACCTTGGACCAGGGCAGTTTTTCAATATCCACAAAAATCCTCATCAGCTCAGGGATGGCAAGCGCAGGGTGTGTGTCATTCAGCTGGATGGCTACCTGGGTAGAGAAAAGACATCGATTGAAGGTGAATGATGGCCCAGGGTCTGGCTTCCTGTCCTCACCAACATCGGGAAGAAGCACTAAACCAGTATTTCTCAACTGATGGGTCATAACCCTGGTGTGTGTGGGGGGGGCAGCGAATATCAGCTATTCTGCCTTTTGGGGGGTCATAGATCAGCAAAGCACTAAACCAGTAGTTCTCAACTGATGGGTCATAACCCTGGTGTGTGTGTGTGTGGGGGCAGCGAATATCAGCTATTCTGCCTTTTGGGGGGTCATAGATCAGCTATCCTGCCTGTCAGATATTTACATTATGATTCACAACAGTAGCAACATTACAGTTATGAAGAAGCAACAAAACAATTTTATGGTTGGGGTCACCAGAACACGAGGAACTGCGTTAAAGGGTCTCAGCATTAGGAAGGTTGAGAACCACTGCCGACTAAACAAAACTCCCGAGTCCTGGGAAACGTTTGATTGCAGCATGTACTTGGCCTGCCTATCTTTCAGCCACTAGGAGAGGGTAACTGACGGAAGTCCTCCCTGTGGGCACCTGTGGCCACAGTCTGATCACATACCTGATCTGGAAAGGCATCGAACACGGTTCCCACGCCATCCTTGGATCCAAACTTGGAGGCCTTGAAACGTCGGATGACATCCTGCAGGGTCGCAGCCACCACAAAGTACTCTTGCTTTAGCCTCAGCTCCTTCCCTTCAAAAAACTTCAAGCCAAGGAAACTGAGTGAGAGTGGGTAGCAGTGGAGCTGTGGTGAAAATGTGACCAGAGTCCCCTGCCTAGGGGGCATTAAGGCACCAAGAAGAGGCAGGGTGAATGAGGAAGTATCAACCTTCACTTCCCTGAAAAGCTGTTCAAATGACAAGCAAGGGCTCTTGGGAGAGAGAGTGTTCAGATAAAAGATAAAGAGGCTGGGAGTGACAATAGTAACATTCTGGGTTTGTTTTTTAAGTAAACTTTATATGTTTTTTGTTTGTTTTTGTTTTTCTTTTTTGAGATGGGGTTTCTCTGTGCAACAGCCCTAGCTGTCTTGGAACTCACTCTAGAGACCAAGCTGGCCTCAAACTCAGAGATCTGCCTGCCTCTGCCTCCCTAGTGATGGGATTAAAGATGGACAGTTGAGTGCAGTACCCTCAGAGATCAGAGGAGGGCATCAGATCCTCTGGAGTTAGAGTAACAGGTGGCGAAACCTGACTGAGGGCAACAGGAACTGCCCTTTGCAAGAGCAGTTCCAGCTGTTAACTGTTGAGCCATCCCTCCAGCCCTGTGAACCCTCTGAAGGCAGAAACAGGCAGATCTGTGGAATCAAGACCGAAGACCCAAAAGCCAACTCTTGGCCTGATGGTAGAGAAGAGCCATGAGGCACTTGGGTTTGTATTTCAGAGATCTGCAGGGTGGGGGTGGGGG